TCGCGTTGACGCGCCGCATGACAACGCTCCGTTTGGCGTGCTTCGCTAGAGACAAGACGATAGCACGACAACGCGCAATGTACCAAATCAGCCACCATAAGTATCGGAAATAACCAAGTCGCATAGATACGGCATTGCTATTTATAATAGGCAATAAGGTATTTAAAAGAAACGCGTGTACACAAATTTGCAAATTTATATCTTTATCTCTACCTGGAGTAGCCGGACATTAATTCAAATCTGAAAGATGACTTAATGATTTACTATTTACTGATAATAAAAAAAAATGTTTTGCGTTTCTACAAATAGTTTTTATCCCAAAGAGACACTTAAGAATAAAGCAAGTAAATTTACACTCATTGCTTTGTACTGGTTGGCTCCAGGAATGGTTTAGAGAGTGTTTCAATAAGCGTATAGCTTTCAACGTAATCGAACTAAAATAAAGTGGTATGAATTAAAAATTAATGGCACATTCTGTATTAAAAAACAAATAGTTACTCCTTTAGAAAGCGGAAAATTTAATTCTATAATGTTAAATAATATTTTCTTTAGAGAAATGTAGATGCTTTTTACCTAAAAAAAAGTCGCGGTAAATGTGAAATAATTTGTCTTAAAAGTAGCAAAAACAAAGTAGTGTTTTGTCGTCCATATAAATAATTTTACTTATTGCCAAAAAAACAACTTACAGTTGCGGTAACTGGCCAATGAGTAACATTTTTGATATTATAATGGTACGCAAAATAAAGTTCTTGAAGAATCAAATTAAAACCATTTTTGAGGCTTACTTGGCCTCTAAAGTGGCATGACATACTCAAATTTTTATTGAAGGGAGATAATCATGTTATATTATAATGTTTATTAGTTGTCCTAGTTTTCTCCCTTAAACGGGCACTTGTAATAACTGTTTTCATATCGCAATGTTTCTTTTCAACGCTTAAAACATTGTAAGTTTATGAAAATATGGTCCATGAATATACAGTTCATGTTGACATGCTACTTAAATAGGTAACCTCAGCAGATCTCCTTTAGGAAGAGATGCATGGCTTGAAATGTTTCCAAAGATTCATTATTGCTCTAAATATCGATCTCTAATTTCTATGTTTAAGGCCTCCTAATTAGCTAACATGTCCGTCAATGTTATTACAGCTAAGTTATAATCCTGAATTTATGTCTGTTATGTTTGTCCAAATGTTTTTCATTTTATCAGTTCGTGTATTTGGAAATATAGCGTTATGCAACTTTTATACCACCTTAGACTATTCGTTCTGGATAAAATTATACTTATATGTTTTGTACCTTTATCAATTCGTCTTTTATTTTTTGGATACTATAATTTCAATATGTATATCAAATGAAACAATTGTTGAATTATTGCATTGATTACTGATAACTTATTTTGTTTTTCGCTGATCATTGCCTTATTTGTGGGTGTATTACAATAGGTAATCACAGTTAGAATGAAGTCATTATTCAATAAATCATTTATTAAAAGTTATAATACAAAGGAAGTGGTTATGCAGATTTCTTAATTATTAATTAATCGTTGGAATTGATGTGTATGATTCGTTTCCATCTGGAAGATATTTCTAAAACTGTCAGCTGAAATGCACTTTTGTATGTACAAATCCGATATTTGAGAGCAACAATTTTCTTGGTCAACAAAAGTTTTAATTCACCTTTTAAAAATGATACAATTTACAAATATTCTTGATTAAGATTAGAAAAGATTAATTACTTTCGACATAACTTGCATCAAAAGATGCCACGGACACACAGTATTGGACTGTGCTGCTTCGCAAAATGGACGTTACGTCATTTCAATAATATGACGCACCGCACTCAACGTTAATATTCTTTAACGCAGGAATATGAAAAACGTAGAAATTGTGGAATATGAAGCCGTTAGGAGCAACGCGGTAGGCAAACGGACAAATACATTATTCTAGAAAATACAAGGAAAATTGAGTACTAATAAGCGCATACTGATTCTATTTAAAACATTCCATCGTGTGATAATCACTGTTGATTAACACGAAATTAAGTGTTAATGATTCGGTCATGGATAATGGCTCGGCCGTGGGTATCCCACAATTAAACATGCGTTATTCATACATACTGTGATTACAGTGATGAAACATTTTCTGCATAATGGTACAGCAAGGGCTTAACGAAGTATTGTTGCTATCGTTACATATATGAGGAACTTCTTGTATTCTTCGCAACGCCAAAATTGCACTTTTGACCACAGACATCAGAAAACGAAGATGATGTGATTTGACAAGATGTTAGAATGGTCTATTTACGAGGTACGGTAGATTAATGTTATCTCATAGCCTAATTTACTATTACATTTTTATCCGAGTACTCCATAAGAAAACATGGAGCTAACAGCAAATTCGATAACGCACACTTTGAGCATTATTTACCTTTTTTTCGTTTTCCGAAATATTTAAATCAAATCATGTTTAATTTTTATCGAAATGTTATCTTTGTCGCAACCATGGCCAAATAAAGAATACTGAAGTAGACCAGTTTTTTATTCTTAATCTGACATTAATTGTTCTTTGCCATTAAACGTCCCTGGAAAACTGTGATACGATTCAAACGTTTTCAAGATAACTTAATAATTTGGTGATAGTCATAGATGTCTTTATGCTTATTTGAACCGTCCAATAGCATTTCTTATTACAAAAATTAACTGGTATAATTCGGACGTGCAGACTGACAAATCTCTTCAGAAATTGGAAAAGAATGTTAATAAAAAACAGTAGGGTTTAAAGAGTTGTGTGGAAAAGTCAACTCCTTTTGAAAATTAATAAAATCGGTAGGGTTTCAGGAGTTGTGTGGAATGCTCAACTCCTGTGAATGTTAATACAAGTAGAAAAATCAACTTCTTTTGAATATTATTATAAGTGGAAAACTCAACTTCTTTTGAATGTTAATAAAAGCAGTAGGGTGTAAGGAGATATGTGCACTACCCAACTCCTGTTTGTGGCAACTGATCATACCCATGCAACCAGTGCAGACAGACCAAGATCAGCCAGCACAACCGTGCCATCCGACGATGGTCTTTCCTGATCGCTGTTTCAGTCCATTCTAATTTTGAATCTTTTTCTAAACGAGGAAAAGTTTAGTTTAGACAGAGAGGTGAATAAGTTCATTAAACATATTTAGCGCGGCAAGAGTTAAATTTGTTTCCGATAAATTTCTTTATTACCTACATGTTTATAACAATTTGTGACTGTTGTTTCAGACAATTGGTTCATAAGGGATAAAACTACAAAATTATAGAGCTGATATGAAAAAATGAAACTGAATACAAGTGATATTCTTCCTAAATTTGCTTATTTATTTTCTTTTCCTTATTGTTTTCATACATTTTGTGTGTTGTTTTTTTATCGAAATGTTTTTGTAATATTGCATAGTAAATCTGGTAAAAAGGAACTTTGCTTTTAAATCTGGTAAAAAGGAACTTTGCTTTTCATCATATTTTTTCTCTGTTCTTATCTAAGCATATATTGGTAAGACATAATACATATTTTTAATTAAATATAACTAGTTTTTAGTGTCTGATATCATCGTTGAATACGTGCGGGAATTTAAATAGGATTAAACGAGGACCATAAACGGCCATCTTGTCGAGTACATTAATGATAAGATAACATCGATAAATATTTCGAATTCTTAAATAATTTAATTCTTAAATAATCATGAATAATTATTAGTTATTTAACCGACTATTTATTTTATCTCTTCTCCTTTAGATCATATGACCACGCAGGGATAAATAGTTACTGCAATTCTAATGCCGAAACCCTTAAAGTCAGCTAGGGCATACACTGGGCGCAATTTTATGAAACATTTGGCATTTGTTTCAAGCGTAACACTAAGTTACTCATATGTAACGCTTGTAAATTCAGTAACATTTGTAACATCTTTCCTTGTATATTGATCAAATTGTGTGCACATTATTCGTGTATATTTTTTTTATTTAATCTCAACTTTCGTAACATTTGTAACAAAGCTGTAACAACTATGTAACAAACTTGTGACAACTATGTTACCCTATTTATTCCGATTCCTTAAAGGCAACCCCTCAGCCAAGGAATATTAACTTCCAGTCTGGCAAGATATATACAATTTCAGGAAAGAGATTGGCTCTTCAATTTAACTAATGAGTGTACCATTGCAATTTCAGAGTATGAAATGTGCATAAAAAGTGGATATTTTTCGAGAGTGTTTCAATAAGCTTATAGCCTCCAACATTATCGAACTAAAATATATTTGTTTAAAACGAAAAAAATGATTAAACAACATAAAAGTGTGTATTGAGACATACGATGATTATTTTCAAGTACAGAACATAAAATAATTATCAGAACTGAACTCGTTTCAATATCAACAGCAAGCTACTTTATTTCTGAGCATGCTGCGTAAAATGTTCCGATGTTTTCTTTTTTCATAACTTTGTCCGAGAGATATTGATACAATACTAAAACAAAGAAATATGTTATTTCAAAAGATGCACGCACTGCGTGCTTCATGTAAAAGTGGCGTTAAGCCACTCGAAATGTCGGGAGATGATAAACCTGTGCAATATAGAATCTTTATTTGTTGATACTAGAGTGTTTATGTCAACCAACCGTTGTCGCGTATACAGCTGGCCCTCTATCATAAATATAGAAATCATGGTACTGGTGATTTTAAACTTTAACCAGATGTGTAAAGTTGGCGACTTGGCAGCTTGCGGCGTAAGTAGAAATTAGCAAATACCTTAATCGGTAACCCAAAAAAGTCATGCGATCATCAACCCATGGAATTGCCAAGCTTAGAATTTGGAACATCTGATTCTGAGTTTATTAAAGTGTATACAAATATTGGGCTATCAATAAAATAGAGCCTGGTCAGACTGCACAAGTGTCCATGCCAGCCTGACTCTGTACTGGTGGAAAGGCACTTACGGTTCCAGCAAATTAAGGGTTAATGAATGAAAGAAAATCGCAAATTGCAATTTTATTTGGACGCAATGCATGTTTGGATAAATACACACAAACAATATTAATACAGATATATAAATAATTGTAAAATTTCTAAAGATGATATGATTACATTCATATAAATTAAACAATTATATAAATAAAAATAAGTTAAATACGGCGTTAAAAACAGACAAAAACCAACCAACCAACAAACAAACATGATTTTTTATTTTTATTATTTTCGATTTACAAAATATATTTGTTGGGTTAACGCTAATATGGCGCCTTTCGCTTTTATTGGAAATAACCAAGCTTGTTTTGTAATTGACAGATATTCGTTCGTCGTTTTATACCCTTTAAACTATTGATAACAGAATTTATACATCTTATACAAGGAAAGTAATACAAAACAGGACATGAAATTATTTCATTTTATTGACCTGATATTGTTCGATAAATTTGACGCAAAGAGAATTTTTTTTGTTTTAAGAGAATGATACTTATGATAACCTTTATATAACCTAAAATAAATAAGGAAAATTTCTTTAATGTGTTGTTTGAATAACGATTAAAAATACCTTTTACTTTAAATTATCTTTATAGATAGATTCACCAAGTAGTACCCCGATTTTTGCAATATTCAACCGTGGTGGTAGGGGTCTCTTCTCAATACTCTGTACACTCGTATAATTAAAAAAAATCAAATAAATAAAAAAATATAAAAGAAATAAAAAATATAAAAAAAACATTGAAAACAAAATGAAGAAACATATAAATTTAACATTTATATTAAAAACAAAAAGTTTTATAATCTTACATGATGGTGATAGAATTGTGATTTTTTTTATATTACCTTATATATTATATATGTATATTCGGAATGACCTTTACAATGGCAATCAGGCGAAATAATACGTATTTTGTAAAAAAAAATAGCATTGTAAATTTTGTATAATTCCTTGTTAAGGACTTCGTGAAGTTGTTTTATCTAAAATATTTTTTTCTTTGTAAACAATCAATGTTCATTTTGAATCCGACAAAAGTAAATGAAATAAGTGCAATTGAATAAATGTTTGTTAGTGCTATATGTCTTTTTTACATCACAGAATGATTATTTAATTGTTGTTGTTTCGTTTCCTTTTGAACAATATCAAATGTCACCTTGTTTCTTTGGATGAATCCTTTCACAGTGGCGTAGGCCTCCGCTACAGCAAGAACAGGCAATAGACCTTGTGATAGAAAACCTAAAATGACTCTATTCAAAACCGAATATTTCCTAGCGCAAAGCGACATGAAATTACCGAAAGCAAGTAATACAAACACGTTAAATGTTAAAAGAGCAAAGAGGAATACCTGCCACCTTTGCAGTGGGATAGGAAACCAAATTGAAACAACTGTATTAATTTGTAACATTTGTCCATAATAGTGTGCTGCTTATATGCATTAAAAGTACAAAACACTTGCAATATAGGGGTATTGAATTTCCCCAGACTATATGAAAATGACCTATAAACCATCGTTTTCTTTGTTTAACATAATCAGCCAACGAAAATGTACTTTTTTCTTTCATGACACCTTCGACAAAGTCAAATCTATAACCACTGTCCCAAGCAGCCAGTGCAAATCTAAGATCTTCGGCAATACTTTCCTTCGGTCCGAAGTCGAAGCCGATCTTGTCCTCGATTTTCATTTTTACAACAATGAAAGAACCTTTAAATCCAAACAATGGTCTATGGAAAAACTGTAAGGCCAGTCGAAACAATCCGTAGTCTATAGCAACTCGCATTCCATCAAGCAAGGTCGTTAGCCAATTTTCTATCCCGCTTTCACCATAAGTAATAACCCCTTGTCCTATGTCCGAGTTTGGATCAGAAACGAAATTAATTATTCCGTATAAGACACTTTCAGAAAGAAGTGTCTCTTCATCCAGGTGCACGATCCAATCATCTGGTGATAAAATGTTTATGTTTCGACCAAGACAATAGTGCAAAGCACGTGCTTTGAAGAGCGTGCCATTTGTAGTGTGGTAATCACGTGGTACTACCACTTCTCTGACGTAATTTGACGGCTGAATCCCCAACGCTGCATCGGTTACTATTTCAAACTTAAAATTAGTAATTCCAAAATGTTTACATGTCTTAATATTCCGCCGTGTAACCTCTGCTACAAGATTTGGAAAAAGTCCACGTGTAACTACCCGAAAACAAATAAATGGCTGTAGATTTCTACTCCTAAGTTTTCTTGTCACTTGTTTGAAAGGGTTGTACAGAACTATTCCAAACATGTTAAAGAAGGCTATTGGTACATTTAGATAGATCGAGATGGTCATACAGTACAATAATATTGTCCATATGTACCCATATTTTTGCACGGCATCCAATATTGTTGGCCCAGATTCGTCGTAAAACTTTTCACATACTGCAGATGAAACATAACAATAGATCCCTATGAATATCAAGAAAAATATTCGGTAAATTGTGTGCCGAGTTCGCTTTATTGTTGTTTTAACTTTCCTTCTTAATGATCGCATTTTTCTTTTCCCGCCAAAATACTACAACTGTAATTCTGATAAATGTTTATTCGGATGAATGTTAATTTTATTAATGTTAATTCAGATTAATGTTAATGCGGTCACTTAATTAATAATTTATTCCGTCGTTAATCATATATATCCCATTTTTGATAATTATTTATATGGATGTCTTAAACTTCTGGATTTTAACTGTTATAGGATAAGTATAAGATTCCAATATCTAACCTTTGTCAAATGTTTTACTTCTTTGTCTTTAAAACAAATTTTAACTTTCACAATTACTCGGTTAAATGAACTATGTTGAGTTTTAAGCTAAACATGACAAGTGTTATCATTGTATTGACCAATCAGAAGAGTAAGATAAAAAGGCACTTTTACCACGAATCGCTTATCGTTCGTAACCTAAAATGCTCATTGCCTAATCTAGCAACGGTTTTTGATAAAAAGGGCCTTTAGAATAAGTACCGTATTATTTATACAAGAAAAATAAATGACCAAAAGATAAATTAATCAAAATTAACGTACGTACTTCGTTAGTAACAGGGTAAAATATGTGAAACAGAGCATGTATTGCGTTGATATCGAGTTGAAAATATGGTATTAAACTAATATGTGAAGCATAGCACTTACTGCGTCAATAACGGGGTAGAAATATGGTGATAAACTTATATGCGAAACATTGCACTTACTGCGTTAATCACGTGATAGAAATATGGTGTTGTACATTGTCTTTTTTCTTCTTCTTTTTTTAAAATAAAGTTTCATTTTTTCATGCTTTATTGCATGTTATCCTTTTTTATTGCTTTGAACAAACAAAATGAGAACACTTAAGTGGTTATTCTTGTAAAGTTATATATCTTAAATTGTTGAATTAGCTCCACAGAGGCCAAAAAAGCTTTAAATTATTACAAATGTAAACTAGGGCACTTAAAACGGAAAACCTTACAAATAAATATTCAAAAATATACAGAGTTAACATTGAATATGATTCTTAGCCCTATTAGAAATCAAGGCGTTTAAACGCCTTTAAGTCATTTTGCATAGTTTTTTGTTTTTGTTTTTTCTTTTTGTTTGTTTTCTTTTTTTTAAAAAACAACCCCCCCCCCCCGTACGGAGTGAGCAAATGGTCTGAAATTTTGCTTACATGTTATTGATCGAGAGATAGACAAATCTAGAGATAAAAAATGCTTGTCCCGTCTTGTAAAAACACTTAAATGGAGTCCTTCTGATCGCTTCCCTGACAGGGTGTTAGAAAACCCTGTGTATTTCAATCTACATATTTATTTACTGTCAATCACGAGTTAAATAGTTATACTCATTCAATGAAATCAAAAAGAAAGAATCTGACCAACAACAACAACAACAACAGCAGCAGCAGCAGCAATAAAAACATCATCAACAACGATGAATGATTTGAAGTTACCGGCCTGGGAAACTTTTACTCTTTGTTCTTTTTACTCTTTTCTTATTTTGTATTTTAGTAATGTGCTTCGCTTTTTATATTCATTTAAAGTTCAAATCGGAAAATGTAGTTCGTGCTAATCAGACCTTCTTTCCGAATATATTGCATATACATACATGTACATCACTTATAGATTATGGCAGGTACAAATTACAATTTTACAGTTTATGGGATGGGACCACTATTTGATTGTTGAAGTTTTTGAGGATGATAACAATGGTACGCCTTCCTAGAAAAAGCGGCTGTGTATATAGTGAGACTAGGATTGGAGCACCACACTAAATACCGTATTCCGGTATATACCGGACAAGGCGCTTGAATGATAAAATGCTAAAATCTTGTCTTTTTACCCAACGGAATGAAATTTAACAGGTCTAATTAATCTTTTCACACCGAATTAAGTACGATAATGAAGGAAAAATGTAAAAATCGGCGAAATAAAAACGATATTTGTCTATTTTGTGATCATGATTTCTGCAAGCGTCTAGAGGTACTGCTCCAATCCTGTATTGAGTTAAATGCATAATTATGTGCTGAAATCGGATGAGTTTCGGGCAAGGACAAAGTGTGTTTGCACCACTTGCTTTAGTGTATAAACCACGTGATGCTCTCTTTGTTGGTTATCTCCTATCTCTTTTTTATTTATTTATTTTTTTGTTTGTTTGATGAACACAATATTAATCATTAAAAGTAGGACACATGTAGTTTAGTCCTTTTTCTACATTTATTTAAAGAAGTAGAAGTAGACAATGTGCATTTTGTAATTATTGAGAAGAGGAATAGGAACATTTAGATCTGACAACGTCACAACTAATTACAGTTTATTTTCCTATGATTATCTAAATAGGTTAAGTAATCAAATATAAGAATTCTTGGAATTAAACTACTTGTACATAAATTAGCGTTCTTAGTGTGTATAAATCAGACTGCCAAGTGTTTGAATGTTATTTCTCTTTTGTACGAGTATAATAGGCAAAAATGATAAAGTTTTCCAGTCACAATATGAAATCCCAGAATAAATGAACCAATGTTTGTGCATCTGAAATTGACTACACCCCTTCGTACAAACGAGATAGTCTCGTGTTTCGATTCTCTTTCTATCACTTATATCATTATTTTATTTCCATCAACATCACACATTTGAACTCGGATGATTTTATTTATATATTGAATAAGATGGTCAGTGGGAATGTTAGATATGGTATATTATGCCAGTACAGTAAAACCTCCACAGAGCGACACCCTTTTTGGTGAAAGGTGGTGCTTTAGACAGGTGAAATATATAATGAAATCATACCTTACCTGCATGAGAATTGATACTGTTGTTGCAAAGAGTTTACCGCTTAACAGAGGGTCAGTCTGCGAAGGTTGCACTTTGTTTGTGACCAAAAGACTCGATCAATCGAGTCTGCAAAATTCGCATATTGACTTTCGCATAATTTCCCGTTCGGACTCTCCTTTGAAAATGATGTCCGTGAAGTACACGGGCTAACGGGCTAGCGGTCTAGCGGACTAACAGTGTGAACTGAGCGGTCTAGCAGTCTAGCGGACTTACAGTGTAAACTGGGCGGGCTAGTAGTCTAGCGGGCTAACAGTGTGAACTGGGCGGGCTAGCAGTCTAGCAGACTAACAGTGTGAACTGGGCGGGCTAGCAGTCTAGCGGGATAACAGTGTGAACTGGGCGGGCTAGCAGTCTAGCGGAATAAGCTCTAAATCTTAATTAACAGATTAAAATGAAAACGTTATGATACATATCCTAGCAGTGTGACGTTGGCGGGCTAACAGTGTAGCGGGCTAGCAGTGTGAACTGGACAGGCTGGCGGGCCAGCGGGCTAAACTTTAATACTTAATTTGAATGAACATTAAAACCTCATGATACATTTCCTAGCAGTGTGAAGTGGGCGGATTAACAATGTAGCGGGCTAGCAGTGTGAACTGGGCGGGCTGGCGGGCCAGCGTGCTTAACTCTTAAACTTGACTGATTCGACATTTAAGCCCCATGATACATTTCCTAGCAGTGTGAAGTGGGCGGGCTAACGGTGTAGCGGGCTAGCAGTGTGAACTAGACGGGCTGGCGGGCCAGCGGGATAATTTTTAATACTTTATTGAATCCATATTATATCCTCATGATAAATTACCAAGCAGTGTGAAGTGGGCGGCCTAACAGTGTAGCGGGCTAGCAGTGTGAACTGGGTGGGCTGGCGGGCCAGCGGGTTAAACACTATAACTTAACCAATTGAACATGAAAACGTTATGATACATTACCTGGCAGTGTGAAGTGGGTGGGCTAACAATCTAGCGGGATAGCAGTGTGAACTGGGCGGGATAACGGGCCAGCGGGATAAATTTTAATACTTAATTGAATCCATATTATATCCTCATGATAAATTACCAAGCAGTGTGAAGTGGGCGGGCTAACAGTGTAGCGGGCTAGCAGTGTGAACTGGGCGGGCTGGCGGGCCAGCGGGCTAAACTTTAATACTTAACTGATTCAACATGAAAACGTTATGATACATTACGTGGCAGTATGAAATGAGCGGGCTAACAGTATAGTGGGCTAGCAGTGTGAACTGGGCGGGCTTGCGAGCCAGCGGGCTAAACTTTAATACTTAGTTGAATCAACATGAAAACCTTATGACACATTTCCTAGCAGTGTGAAGTGGGCGGGCTAACAGTGTAGCGGGATAGCAGTGTGAACTAAGCGGGCTGGCGGGCTAGCGGGATAAACTCTAAAACTTAACTGATTCAACATGAAAACGTTATGATACATTACCTTTCAGTGTGAAAAGAGCGGCCTAACAGTGTAGCGGGCTATCAGTGTGAACTAAGCGGGCTGGCGGGCCAGCGGGATAAACTCTAAAACTTAACTGATTCAACATGAAAACGTTATGATACATTACCTGGCAGTGTGAAATGAGCGGCTAACAGTATAGCGGGCTAGCAGTGTGAACTGGCGGGCTGGCGGGCCAGCGGGCTAAACTTTAATACTTTATTGAATCAACATTAAAACCTCAAGATACAGTTCCTAGCAGTGTGAATGTGAAGTGGGCGGGCTAACAGTGTAGCGGGCTAGCAGTGTGAACTGGAAGGGCTGGCGGGCCAGCGGGCTAAACGTTAATACTTAATTTAATAAACATTAAAACCTTATGATACATTTTCTAGCAGTGTACGCTCGGCGAGCTAACAGTGTAGCGGGCTAGCGTTACAAATTCAGCGTGCTAGCAGTTTAGTGGTCTAAATTCCATACTTAATTATTTTAACACTAAAACGTTATGATGCATTTGCTGGCAGTGTGAAATGAACGGGCTAACAATGCTTGTTTCATATGGTATACACGATCCTTGAGAATTGTCACAAATATGTACACTAAAGTTTTTAAATCTGTATTGACATTCAAATGATGTATTATATACAGAAAAAACAACAATCTTAACTGAAACAGAAACAAACTCTGCAACATAAGGTTTTAGTAGGGCAATCAAATGTAGAACCTCATGTAGTGAAGCAGAAGCTGCACCAGAGATACATACATAGGTGTATATTTCGTACAATGACAGAAGCTTGTACATAAATATAAGGAATCTAGCAATTTATTTAGGAGCGGATCTGTGGTATGGTGGTTAATACATATATATATAATCCAGGGGTCTTGAGTTCGATCCTCCGCTCATCCGTAGCATTACCAACAGTCTTTCGTATGGGACTTTAAAGCGAGGTCCCGTGTATCGGTGCTTTACACCGGGCACATAAAAGTTCCAAGTATGCTTCTGAAATGGGCCATCTTCTGTACTGCCTGCACTATCTTCACAAATCTAATTACGAATGTCTAATTGTGAAAAACCACAAAGCGTCGGCATACAGAT